AAACTATATCTGAAAACAGGCATAATGTGGGTATGGAGGTAAGAGAAAGGACAATACCAAAGATTCACTAATACCTTCGGAAGTAAATGCTGCTATGCCAAGTACACACTCACATCTCTCTACCACAATAAGAGAATCACAAGCTAGTAATAATAACAGATCAGTGGGATCTTTGGTCTTTGCTTTTGAAAACAGTATTAAAGGAGGTTCTAGAGCACTGGAAGGCAGCGGACCACTTTGGGTCTCTTGCTGAGACTGAGTTCTAGTTCAATTTTCACAACTTACATCAAAGACTAAAAGGTTCAAAGTAGTTGGGAATTATAAGCACATAATAAAATAAAACAGGATAAGAAAACACTGAGGCAAGTTCAAGTGGGTTCTCAAATTGTACAGGTATGTATTTTACATTCCAAGTGTAATGAACTGATAACCTAGTCTACTCATAAACCTTAATTCTTAAAAATCAGTTTCTGGTTTGGTGATTTTATCTTCTCTTACCATTCTTGGATCAAGTTTCTCTTCTTCTTTCTACCAACCTTCATTCCATTTTTGTAATGCCTTACCCACCTTTGAACTTTACTTGTCACATCCCAGTTTATCAATTTCATCAACTACCTACTACTTTTCATTTAATATTTACTAATGCTGAAGAGTTGGGTCTCTAAAGAGCGATAAAACATAATGCCTGTCCTCCAGGACCTAAAGTATATTAAGGAAACAAAGGTAAATAGCCATAATCTGTGATAAAATAATAGTAGAAATACGTAAAATCACTTAATTCTTCCCAGTTTAACATCTGAGTTTTAAAGAATAAACAGATACTTGCAGAATGTACAGAAAACAGAGCGGCATTCCAGAGAGAAATAAAACATGTGAGGAGACAAAAGAATGAAAACCAACATAGCTGATTCTAAGAACTGCCAAAGAGTTGTACTAAGCTAGAGCACAAAGTGCAGGTGAGGACACGGTAGGAAAAGTGTGAAAAGGTCAGTCTTGTGTGATAGTGTCACATTAAAATGGTTGACATTATCATTCAGTCACTCTCAATGGGGGAAAGGAGAAGGCATGACATGATGATATGTGCATTTCAAAAAGTTTAGAGCAGTGATAATTTTGCCCAGGAGATATCTGGCAATGTCCGGAGACTTGTTAAATTGTGACAAGAGGGCAGCAGGGATGCTACTGGCAATTAGCAAGCAGAGGCCAGGGATGCTAATAAACATCCAACAATGCATAGGGAAGCTGCCTACACCCAGGAATTATCCGGCCCAAAATGTCTCAACAGTGCCAAGGTTAAGAAACCCTCGTTAGAACCTGACTCCTGAATAGACTAGGGGCAGGGGCTTAAGCAGCGCTTAAGTTCTGAGATAGCAGAGGCCTTGTTCTTGCTTATCTGCAACTCCAGACCCTAGCCCAGTGCCAGCTATAATTAGGGATATACAATATTTACTTAGCGAGTGAATGAATAATGTAGGACTCCAGGCAAGAAGTACCAAGGCCTGAAATGTGGCTGTGGCAATGATAATGGAGAACAGGTTCAAGAAAGTAGAATAAACAGGTATTATTTATTAAATAGACATAAGAAATGAACAGTAAATCTAAAATAAAATTATCTCCAAGCTTCTGGTTTGGAATAACAAGGTTCAGAGAGCGTCAAAAATTACTTAGGTATTTTTAAGTTTGAGATGAATGTGAGATATTCAAGAGGTCCAATAGTTTCCACACGGTTTGAAATATCTAAGAAAATCCAATTTTGCCACCAGCTTAACCTAAAATTATCCTCTGAACTACAGTAAGAAGTCCAATAAAAAATTAACAAACCCTATGTCCAGTATGGTATCCTGGACTAGATCCTGGAATAAGAAAATGTAATTAGTATGAAAACTTAGTGAGATATGAATTAGGTCTGCTGTATAGTTAACAGGAGGGCACCGTTGGTTTAGTAGTTCTGAGGAACAGACCAGGTAATGCAAAAGTATAACATTTGGGGAAACTGCATGACGGGTATACAGGAGCTCTTTAAACCATCTGTGTAACTTCTCAGTAAATAATTTCTTACTCCAATATTAAAAGTTTATTTAAAGAAAAACAACTACTACCCCAAATGTGTCAAAATTTCAATATTTGGGATCTATAGTAAACGTTTAAATCTACATATGTATCTTAAGAAAAGCTAAAATGTCAAGAATTTCTTCTTACCTCCACTGATACTTGGTAATACCACACTGACCAAGGAAAGAGCAAAGAAAACTTTTAAAGGCAGCCAGACAGAAAATGGCAAAGACTCAACAAAAGAAGAAATAAGTCAGTACTACAAACATTCGTATGTATTTTTTTAAATCTTCTGAACCATACTGTAACAGCTTGAAATAATATATTGTACCACTACGCAGGCAACTATTCTGGCAAGAAGACTGATGAATTATTTCTTCCCATCACCATCCTGTTCATAACTTTATAGCGACAATAAAACAAAATATATACCATGGTGAACTCTAGCAAAACACAGACACTAAACTATGACTAAGCAAGTTGAACCATTTTGATCAGTCTAGCTTCTCTGTAGTGCTTTCAAAACATATATGTAAATACACTTTTTTAAAGTAGGCAAAATGGGCAATTCATTACAGGTGTTTCTTAACATAAAGCAAAGATTTTCCTGAAAATCACAACAGGAAAGAAAAAAATTTATCTTAAACCCTAAAAATAAAATAGTCTTTCAGAAAGGTACATCAATTACCTGCTTGGCAATTAATTCTGTTACCTAAATGAATCAATTACATTTCTATGCTTGGATGCAAAACCCAAGGTATTTTTGCCATACGGATATATAGTGTTCTGTACCATCTGTTGTTTCCGGCATCCACTACGCATCTCAGAATGTATCTCCTGTGAATAAGGGAAGACAAATGTCCCTCTCTCCCTGTCAGCAGTATTTACTAATATGACCATCAATAATGTGACCTAAAATATTTTATTTGACTTTTATAAATATTTGGTACCCTTTTCCAAAAAATGACGAACACCAATTTTCTTGAGTAGTTAAGCATTATTATTAATAAATTTAGTTCACTGGGAATAAAGCATAGCATAATGGAGTCAAACAGTCTGGGTTGAATCCTGGCTTCACTTCTCACTGCATGTGTGAACTCAGTCAAGTTACCAAAATCTTTCCATGCTTCAGTCTCCTCTGTAAAATAAGCATAATAGCTCCTACCTAAAGAACATTTAAGGTTTTAAAAGAGTAAATAAATAGAAAATTCTTAGAACAGTGTCTGGCATATAGGAATTACACACAGAGCAAATGTTATTTACCATCAATCATTCTTACACTTTCATTACCTACCACAGATCTGACAATGTATTGAAAGACCAAGCATAACATGTTCTCCTTATTATATGGATCTATAGTTTTTAAAAGACAGAATAAACTTTTCCTAAACGGGAAAACTCCTATAATATTTTATTTTTCCCTTCTTTCAGGAAACCTATTATACCACCTTAGAATAATTTTCTAAGTACAAATATACCCTCGTCTCTCAAAATCTTTTGTTAATGTTTGTTCATTACAGCAAGATAACATATTAAAATTATTTAAACAAGACAATCTTTTGTTTTTTTAAAAAAATACATGATTACCCACCATGCAGATATCACATAGGTTATCTCCGAAAAGTAAGTTAGAGGAAGCAATCCAGAATACATCAGAGAGTCAAAAACATGTAAAACATAGAAGAAAGGATAACAAAGCAGATAAAGTGTTTAAGTCTCATAGGAAAGGAGAGAGAATGGAACAGAGAGGTTAAAAGATAATGATTGATAATTTTTCAATGTCAATAAAAGACATTTCCAGAACTTAAACAAGACAAATTTTCAAAAAGTTAACGTCAAGACATATCATACTCAAACTGCAGAAAATCAGAAAGAGAAAAAATCTTAAAAGCAATTAGAGAAAAAGGAATTGCCTTCAAAGCAGCAAGTTAGATAGTAGATTTAAACCCAAGTACATCAATGATTATATATAAATAACTAAATGTTCTAGATAAAACACAAAGATTGTCATATTGTATTTTTAAAAGCCCCTTTTATATTTTTAAAAGAAATAAAAGGAAACAGAAAGTTGCAAGTAAAATGATAGAAAAAGAGATGCACATATATATATAAATGAAAAACCAAAGTCATATAAAACTTACTATCTGTATAAGAAGTATCCAGAAAAGAAAGAATGAAGTAAGATTTCAGCAGGCGGAAGAAAAAAGAATAACATTCCTGGCTAGGTAGGAACATGAGAGTGGAAAAGAAGCTATGATTGAACTTTGAAGGTCTCTGAAAATTAGGAGTACACTTAGAGAAAGTATAACACTATTAAAATATCTTGACCTCTTTATACTATCTTGAGCAGAAGAGTGACACAACAAAGGTAGACCTGAATAAGGTTACTATTACAGTGTTACACACTATACTGGAAGGGAGAGAGAGAGAGATGACACCCCAGGCAAGATTAGTTTGGATGATGCTGTATTAATCCAGGTAAGGCAAGGGCCTGGTAGTAGCAGATGGGAAAGGGATGAAGCTAGGAGGCATCTCAAGAAGACATATTTACATCAGTACTCCCTCTTTGAAACTTTAGCCAAAAAAAAAAGTACTGTGCTTTTAAAAAGATAACTATTTTTGTCTCCTACCATTATAACTAATCTGAATTATATATTGATTCTACTAACTCGACCTAATAATATATACCTTAATATGGAACTTTTGTAAAAATAAAATACCAATGAGCTAACTGGCCTACATAACGTGCAATGTGCACAATCCCTAATTATATATGACTTTTTCACTATTAAAACTACTAATAAGAAAAAAAATCTATTTTTTTCCTTTTTGAATGCAGATGTACATAATACGAAGTTCTCTAACACCACAGTAACCAAAAAACTTTTTTATTTTCAAAAGCTCTTTACCAAGATGCTATTTACTAGCAGTGAACTCAAACAACTCACCAATGCTGGGTGGGCTACCATAATTAACTGGTGACTCAGGTGGTCTTCCACAGTGCAACGCAGCCAGAGCAGATCCTTTCCATACAACATGCTTGCAGCCTATTAAACACATGTATTTTTATGCATACAAAGAACACAAAAACAAAAGTGAGATAAAGAATGTCTGAATCCTATGAGAAAATTTTCATACTTTTATTTGTGCGTAGTAAAGACTGTCTTCCAGCTCCTAATAAAGTTTGTACTCCAGGAACACTTTGAGGAATTTCTTGTTCAAGAAGAGGTCCTAGTCGATGACATATTTGCAGCAAGTGATCAGGTGCTAAGTGTCTGTAATACTTCACCTATTATGTAAAAGACAAATATAGTATGTTTCAGTTTATCATTTTAATTTTCAAAATCTTTGAGCACAATAAAAAAATTCATCCAAGTATAAAATGTTTTGCATATCTGATGTAAATCAAAACTCCAGAATAATTAAGAATTAAAAACAACTGATAGTTGGTTATTAAAAAATTTAAGAACACTTAACATCTATGCTGAATTTCATAATTTACTAAAAACCTCACAGAGAGAAAGACAAAATTCCAACTGCTGCTTTAAATACCTTTCAACCATAAAATAAAGCTACCCACTATAAAAAGTGTGAGCACTTTTGGAACAACTTCAAAATACTACTTAATTTATACCGGCATTTGAAACCATGATATGAAGTGCTAATATTTTTATTAGTCTTTCAGTAAATAAACAATATTCACAATCTAAATAAAATTATATTGGAAAAAATATTATTGTATTACTTTATAATTAGCTATCAAGTTAGAAAAAAAGGTCCACAGTAGTATCTAGTTCAGCTGTTCTCAAAGTAGGTTTTGGGCACCCCTGGAGGTCCCTCAGATAAAACTTATGAATAATACCACATTAGTTGTTTTTCACTTTTTCTCATGAATGCATGGTGGAGGTTTCCACAGGACACATAACATGTGATGTCTTAACAGACTGAATGCAGAAGCAGATAGGAAAATGTCCCTTCTATCAAGCCAGATATTAAAGATTCACACAAATGTAAAACAATGCCATGCTCCTCACAGATTTGTTTTGTTTGGGAATAATTATTATAAAAATGTTACTTATATTAACATGAAATTAGTTTATTAGTATTATTTAATAGGTCTCTAACATGTTATATGCTAAGTTTCTAATGTGGTAAATACCAATAGATTATAACCTACACAAATAAAGGAACTTCAATACATTTTAGTAAGCATAAAGGGGTCCTAAGACCAAGAAATTTGAAAACTGTTCCTCAAGTTTACCAAGTAATGGCAACTTTAACATGAATTCCTTTAGATAAGACTGATGTGGGGGGAGGTGAGATTTAAATCATTTCATTCCATCTTGCAATATCTGCTATACTCTAACTGCAGAAATCCATGAACGATATGTTTTTAAAGGTAGCTAATACTCATCCATCTAAACTGAAGCCAATAGGAGAAACCTACCTTGCTCTTTATCAAAATACACTCCTTCTTTCACAAAGATAACGTGGAGCCATACTGCCACACTTTGGAAAGATTATTTAAAACACCAGAGTTTGGCATACAGTAGGTGATAAGTCAGTAAAATGAGTATTTTTGTAAAAAGGAGTTCTAATAGAGTATGTATCCTATGAATTATACATACTACCTCCTTGTTTTACAGTCAAAAAGCACACTGACATTGAAGTCTCTGAGAAATCCTGAGATAATTTCCCAAACTCATTTAGCTACAGAATCCCTTTTCTCCCTAATAATATCTATCATATTCATCCAGAACATAGTTTAGGAAACACTAGTATGATCAGCTAAATAAAAAAGCATTTAGAAGAAAACTTACCAAAATGAGTTTTTAAAATCATATACTTTTCTTTAATCGTCCCCAAAATAATTTATTTAAAAATAAAATTTAGAAGTCTAGAATACTTGTAAGGTTGCTTACAGTTCTAAGATTGCAAATGATTATTTTAATGTGACTTAATTGATCAAAATTCCTTTTAAAAACTTTAAAGAAGATAGAAGTTCATTACTTATTAACTTCAGATGTGTGATGATGCTGTTTTAGTATCCTCTGGCAAAATATATTTTCAGGTCACGAAACTGAACATCCTTACTGTAATATTCTTTCAATAAATTATGAATCCACTCTGACTCAAGCTTTCTTCAGTGATTTAGAATGTTTGAATTTTTCAAAATCAACTTTCATTTTAAAGTTAGAAGAGATACTTTCAGTTCTTAAATTCCTTGTGCTTTCTCTGGCTTTTGAGACTTTATACAAGCTGATCCCTCTGCTGGCAATCTTGTCTTACCCGCTCATCTCTACACCTCATACTCCTTCATGTCTCAGTCTATGTCTCGCTCACTGCCTTCCATGACCTATTTACACCACCTGTGCCCCTTTTTGGACACTTCGTGTCCACAGCACATTATACTCCTCAAATGTCCATTCATCCCTCTAGCACTGTGTGGTACTTACCACATTAATTGTTTTTAATATATTTTGATACTTAGACTTTTAAGAATCTAATGAGAGTTATGATCTTCTTCACCCCAAAAATACATAAGCCCTACCATTATCTGCCCTGTTTTGGGGGTTCATAAGACTCATGCACTATACTAAAATTGCCAGTTTACTTGTCTGTGTCCTGCATAAGGAGAGATTAGGCCATGTTGACCTCTGTCTACCCAATACCTAAGGCAGTACTTACAGTTAAGTGCTTAATAAAGTTCTAGTTGGATAAACGAAGATTTAAGAATATGCAGAAGCTACTGACTTCCCCATTCTCAAAAACCTCAAAACATTTTGTTAGCGCCTATCCCAGCACATAAAAATAGATGCAGTAAAATTTCTTTACATGGTATAATTCTTTATTCTAATAGTTTTGGGGTGGTTGTTTTTTGTTTGTTTGTTTGAGACAGAGTCGCCCTTGGTGGGATCTCAGCTCACTGCAACCTCCGCCTCCCAGGTTCAAGTGATTTTCCCGCCTCAGCCTCCCAAGTAGCTGGAATTACAGGCGCCCACTACCTAACCTGGCTAATTTTTGTATTTTTAGTAAAGACGGGGTTTCGCCACGTTGACCAGGCTGGTCTCAAACTCCTGACCTCAAGTAATTCGCGCCCCCCTCCAGGCCTCCCAAGTGCTGGGATTCCAGGCATGGGCCACAGCTATTAGACAATAGCTCTTATCTAATTGCAATTATCTCACAGCAGTTCTAATAGTTTTAAAACACTTTTTAAGGAAAGCCATAGAACATGTCTTCAAACAAAATTTTAGACGAAACAGATGAAAGGTGCTCAGAAAGTATTCTTACTTAAGTGGCATCAGGGAACACATATGTCAATGCTTGACTCTCTACTTGCTTCCTCTTAGCAGTCCCTGAGGTACCACCATGAAAGGGTCTCTGGAAAGAACAGTGGAAACAGACTAACAAACAATGCTGTTATCCTCTCTTTCCCAAGAGTCCTCTTCCCCACCCCTCATTTTCTCAGCAGATGACCTAACCTACTTTACAGGAGAACCTTTAAAGCTGAAACTTTCTGTTTCTTCCCTATCAAACCTGTAAACCTAGCTACACCTGTACCAATTCTGTCTCTTAGTAACACAACTGTCCCTCTTAATATTTAAGATCCAGTCCTTCTACCTATGCTTTGAATCCTAACTTCTCTGACTGCACGGAAATCCTACACTATAAATTAGACCTCCACATTCTAGTATGTACACTAACTTCCTCTCAACCAACTCCTTCCCATCTACACCTACGTGTAAACATGCTCATTTTGCATTCACTTTAGGAAAAAACAAAAACCCTACCTAACTGCTCTTATCCAACACCTCCCCGTGCCCAAATATCCTGGCTACCCCTTTCCCATTCTCTTCCTCTCCGGAAACATGTTTTTAAAATAATGGTCCATAGTCCATCTCATTTCATATCCTGTCCTCTCCTCAACCTACTCCATACTAGCTCCCACACTCATGAACTTACAAAAAACAGCTCTTATCAAAAGTTCACCTTCAATGATCAATAACTCCAATAAGCATTTTAAAATCTGTATCTTATTTAATGTCCCATAATATTTCACCTAAGTGTTGAACACTTCCTCATTTGCAAACTATCTTCTCTTAACTTTTGTGACACTCCTTGGCTTGCTTTCTTCCTCTCCAACCATTCCTTCTCATTTTTCTTTTAGGTTTATCCCCCTCTATACAGCCATTAAATAGTGAAGTTCCTTAAGATCCTGGGTACCAGAGTCCAGTTCCGATCCTCTTTTCTTCTCACTATATACTCTCTCCTTGGACAACTGTTGTAACAATGACTTCCAAACTTCTATTTATAGCATAGACTTGCATATCAAAGTTTCTTAAAACAGCTCTCTAGAGCCCCAAAGCATCTGACACTCAACACATGCAAAAGTGAATTGATGGATCCTCATGAAAACATTCCCCACTAAAGTGTTCCCTACCTTGGTGGATGTCAACCCCATTTATCCAATCTTAGAAGACGGAAACCAAGGAGCTGCATTTTTTACACAGCCCATTCCTTCCTCCTTCCCATCATATTCCCAGTATCCAAACAGTCACCAAGTTCAACTTAATTTTTCCTTCCTATTTTTAAATCCATCTACCTGTATCTCCATAATAATCCAAGTTGAAATCATCTTTGCAATAAACGCCTACCTTTCCCAAATGCATTCACACCCCATCTATTCTCTATACTGCAATTAGAATGTTCTTTCCAAAATACATATCGGATCAAGTCACCCCTATTTAAAACACTTCTGAGGCTTTCCTCCCTCTTTGGGTAAAGATCCAAATCCTTAAAGTGGTCTACCAGTCCAGAAATGCATGTATGGTCACTTCTTAATTTTCTAGCTTCACCTGGCACATTCCCAGTCCCTTTCCCCAACTCTCAGTTTTCACATTTCAACCACGTGGCCTTCTTCCAGGTTATTCACGCACAATCTCTCTCTCCTGTCAGACTTTATCATATAGCATACACTCTGCATTTCCCCACACTTCCTTGCCCAGACAACTCTTCTATGTGTCTCAGATGTTCCCTCTAATGTAACTTCCTTTGTTTCTCTATACTCTACACAATCTGTTTTCTTGATTGCACACTTCCTGTGACTTTCCTTTATTAACTCATATATCAGCTTGCGATTATACATTTAAAAGTACAATTTAATGTTTTTCTATTGCACCATTAAATACAAAAGAGCAGGGGCCGTGAATCTTTTTTGCTCTCAACTATCTGTCTCTCTCTCTCTCTCTCACACACACACAAACACACAGAATAAACAAAAATATTTTT